GCTGGCGCTGGTGGTGCGGCCGTGGGCTTGGTCCTTGCACTGCCCTGCCTGCTCCCTCTCGGCCTGGGTTGGAGCTTGGGGTTCCTGGGGTCTTCAGGTGCCTCCCGAGCACCTGGTCCCCCAGGAGACGTCGGACATCGCTCCTCAGCTGGAGACCAGCTCGTGGCAGAGCCCTGTCCACTGTGTGATCCCTCTCACCTGTTTGGTTGCTTGCTCATGGCACCTTCTCTGCACACCTTTGAGGATGTCCTGTTGTCATTATTTACTGCATGTGTTATCTTTCCCTTTTCTCACAGTTTCACTAATGCTTGTAATTCCAGTTGTCTTCTGGCTTTGCATGTACTGATGTGTGCATAGAAATAAGTTTATCATCTTGTGTGCTGTCATAGGTGTCTTTGAGGTGTTCAAATAGAGTATTTAAAATAAAACTTCCACGACTCTTACAACTATGCAGAGATACAAAATATTTCTTTTTCAGATTGCAATTCCTGGTAATGTTCGATTAAGATGTATTTCCTGGAATAAGGATCAAGGTTTCATAGCTTGTGGTGGAGAGGATGGATTACTGAAAGTTTTAAAATTAGAAACACAGACAGGTAAATGAGACTTTAAAAAAAAAATCAAGAACAAAATCCACCACACTTTAGAATTCTGAAAGCATAACTCCTTTCACAGGTTATTTGACAATATTGCATATGTTTTAAATCTGTACATAGATAGTTATATATTTGCATAAACACTGAATATGCTCTCATTTTCTTTTGAACACTGTTTTCCTCCAGTTTGACTTACGTAGCACGATGTAATTTGTCTACCTGTTTTATCTGCTGAAATTCTCTTCAGTGCTTCTCTTTTTTTCCAGGTCATACATTTCATTCTTATTCTTTTTGTATAGGTTTCCAATTTATTTTGGAACTTACTTCATTATTTCTTGATTTGGTTGGAATATTCTCTACCATCTTCACTATTTTAGGGAGAAAGCTGTGTACTTATTTTTTAAGTAAATGTTTCAAGAAAACTGAAATCTAATATATTTTAAAATTCTTTAAAACTTTTTCCTGCATGTAACAGAATGTGATAGTCATGATTTTTTGTTGTTGTTTTGGGGTTTTTTGATTTTGTTTTGTTTTTTTCCTGAAAAACTCCTAGAGTATATGAATTTGGATGACAGATGTGAGTAGCAAACACAGTGAACTGGGGGTGGAAAATTCATCCTGCAGTTACAGTTTACCTAGTTCTAAGTGAATTATTTTATCTATATAAATACTGATTAGAGCTGCAGGATTGATAGAGGCAGCACAATAATATGTATGCTTTATTAGGTTTATTTTATAGCTATTTTTGTTATTTTTAGATGAAACAAAAATAAAGGGACTTGCAGCTCCTAGCAATCTTTCTGTGAATCAGACTCTTGAAGGCCATAGTGGTAAGTGTCTTTGGACATTTCATGTACTTTTGATTAGAATAAAAAAAATAGAAAAGATTTTGCGAAGTTGATAGAGTAATTTTGCTGTAACTTCTTATTATAAGCCTGGAATGCAAGATTTTGCGAAGTTGATAGAGTTGCTGTAACTTCTTATTATAAGCCTGGAATGAAGATTATCAGTATTCAGCTCAGGTATGTGACAGCTTGGCTGTCTCTTCTTACCAAGTTACCTGATGAAAGACCTGCATTCAGTCTTTCATGGTTGTGAGTGAATTACTGGGTTGAGAATCAGCGTGATCTGGCCTTGCCTCAGTCCTGGCTGAGAGGTGTGCTCGATGCAGAACGCGTGCTGCACAACCCAAGCTCTGCCTGTTGTGGTTTACAGTTTGCTTATGGATGTTGCAAGGTTAAGTCTGAGCAGGAAGTATTGGTTTCCATTTAAGTGGATGAAGCTATTGAAAGTGTTATATTACAGAGGGACTTTTTCTTTTTAAATTGTGCAGACTTGTTATCTCTGACTTCAGCATGGTGATGCCCAATGGTAGGACAAGGGGCAGTGGGTGTGAGCTGGAACACAGGAGGTTCCGCTTAAACTTGAGAAAAAACTTCTTTACAGTGAGGGTGACAGAGCACTGGAACAGGCTGCCCAGAGAGGCTGTGGAGTCTCCTTCTCTGGAGACATTCAAAACCCGCCTGGATGCCTTCCTGTGTGATCTCATTTAGGTTCCTGCTCTTGCAGGGGGATTGGACTAGATGATCTTTCGAGGTCCTTTCCAATCCCCAGCATTCTGTGATTCTGTGTAATCTGGATGTGCTGATCAGTTGCATGGGGCTGGAAGATGTTTTTATGACAGATAAAGAATGCTTTATAGCAGAAGAGAAATGCTGATTGGATGGGCGATTGATGCTGGAATTGCTGCATTAAAGTAACCATGATGTTCTACTGAGCTTAAAAGAAAAGAACAATTTTGTCTTACACTGTATATATAAAGCTTTAAACTGTACAATAAGCTAAAATTAGAATTGAGACTGAAAGCCTCCTTAAGCAATATTTTCTAGCGACACGTGGATAAGCCTGGGGTTTTTGATAGTGTCTGTAAGATTTGTTTTTATGTTGTGATAGCTTTAGATTTTTTTCTGCAGAAATCAAAGTTAATTCAGTAAACCTGATCTCTGTCTTAAATAAATCTTCCTTTTCTCTTTATTTACAAATTACAGCATGTGTACGTATGTAGACTACAGTACAGTACACAGACAAACCTTAGAGAGGTTAGAAAACAGGCTAGAGAATGATAGTGTGTGAAAATAAAAATTGAATGCAAGAAAATTAGACAGGGAGGAATTAAAACTCTTGCATGAGAAATGTTACATGGTCATCATCCATGGACAATGCTGAAATCCTTACATTATGGGGATTTGCAGTTGAAACCTACCAACAATCCGGTTATTTCAGGGGCCTGGTTAAATATGATCAAAAAAATGAATTGTGAGGAATTGATTTAGTGGCTATTTTGAAGGGATGCCTTAAATTCTGAAATAGATTACTGTTACCTTCAAAAATCCCTGACGTTCAGGGTACCTTTGATTGCTTCTGTTGATAAAGTTCATGACTGAAATGCTGAAAAATGGGAAGGGTGCAGAGGAAATGGATGACTAGTGGTGAGGGCATGAAAGAGTGGGACGCCTGACGCGGCGAGTTCATGTCCAGTGTGGAACTGGTGAAATAAGATGCTGCTTAGAAACGTTTTGACGATGTTTCAAGGAATTGTGTGTAGAGTGCTCTTTGTGTAATCACGAGGAAGATAAAAGTGCAGCACTGCTGAGGATCAAACTACTAAGAAGAAAAACCCCAAAACTTCTTAAGACAGTAGAGTTTTTGGTAAGTTTCCCAGACTGACAAATCAGAGGCGGCCGCAACCGCAAAGGACAGTTTGGGGTTTGCGTATTGGAGCAACGTTCTGAGCAGCCTCTGTAGAGGGTGTTACTCAAATAGGTGAATACAGAAGCAGAATTTTGAAAGAGCAAGTGAGTAATACAGAAAGAATACCTAAAACTAAATCAAAGTCAGCAGTGCAAATGTCTGAGAAGCTCTGGGCTGAGGAAGTTGGATGTAGTAGTTTTTATTAACTTACATAAATGGTGTAAATAAAAAATGTGTATAATTTTCTAGGGTCTGTGCAAGTGGTGACATGGAATGAACAGTATCAAAAACTGACTACCAGTGATCAAAATGGACTCATCATTGTGTGGATGCTGTATAAAGGTATTCTACAGGACAAATTTGAGATGAGATAATATTCCATCAATCAAATACTTTCATAAAAAAAATCTTTAGAAATGTTTAATTAAGGCAGTGAAGTAATATGACCGAGTAGTGTATTGTTGTAATTGGCTTTTATTGGTTTTGATCTTTTCACACATAAATATTCTCACTTAAGTTCATTGGAAAGCCAGCAAACTTCTCAGTCAAATTAACCACTTTCCAACACATATGGGAAAGAAAAAGAAAATAAAGGGTTTGCTTTTTCTCTTGCAGATTTTTGTGTAATGAAAAATGGAAACAAATAAAATTGTACCTCAGCTTCTTATTTCAGGAATAAAGAATATCACTTGATTAGTCTTTCTGCCTGATCTGTGGAGGCTACTGTCACATAAATAATCTCTCAGTTTTGGAAAAGAACCAGCAAGTTAGGGAATCCATGTTCCTATCAAAGGCAGTTGTTGCCTTTGTTTATGTTTCCTCATGTATTCTTGTCAGTTCTGACATGACATAAGCACAGATCCCTTCCTGTAGGGCCCCTCGTGGACCTTGGCTCCCCTCTCCGCTTCCTCATTCGTCAAGTTCTTTTGGAAATAAGTAGTTCACATCTGACCACCGAGTCTCACAAGGTCTGTGTAGTCTGGGGAACGCTATAGCATAGTCTTGCTAAAGTTTTACTGAAAGGCAGAAAACCTTTATTTTTAATTTCTTTCCAAAACTTACTGCTTCTGTAGCTTTTTGTTGTATATTATACTGCAGAGTCTCATGTAACTTACTGTCTCATGTTTACTTATAAGCAGACCATTCTTGGGTTTCTCCATTTCACTGAACAGCTACTTTGATTGCTAGTTAACTTTTATAAACTTCTAGTGTGTCTGTATTATGTTTTATTTGTCTTTTTTTTAACAACTTCAGGAATTCATATTGCTAAGAAATGTCACTGTCTTTCTGTCACTGCATATCTCTTTAATTGAGAGTAATTTTACTCTTTGAATTCAGTGATTAGTGTGTACCTTGAATCCACTAGAGGATTTTCAAATAACTTGGTTATAACTCAATTTTTCATTCCCTACTAATAGGTGCTTGGTATGAAGAGATGATTAACAACAGAAATAAATCTGTTGTTCGAAGTATGAGCTGGAATGCTGATGGACAAAAGATTTGTATTGTATATGAAGATGGAGCTGTGATTGTTGGATCAGTGGATGGTAAAATTTAAACCCTATTAATTGTTGTGGTATTACATAGATTTTGTTTCCAGTATTATGTACATAGGGGCTCTGTTTCTTTAGATAAATGCAATTAATAGTTACCTGATAATTATTGCTTTGACTTTCTTTAGCTGTTTTAGTTTTAACATGGGTAACTTGCATCCTATTTTTAGTTTTGTGGTATGTTTATTAAGTTAAGTCAATGTTCTGTTACAGGCAATCGCATTTGGGGAAAAGACTTGAAAGGTACCCACCTGTGCCACGTGGCCTGGTCTTCTGATAGCAAAGTTTTACTCTTTGGAATGGCAAATGGAGAAATTCACATTTATGACAATCAGGGAAATTTTATTGTAAGTTCATGGTGTATAATAAAGATACAACTTCAACAGGCATAAAAACTTACTTCCTCTTAATTTATTTCATGTTTGTTTAGTTGATGGACTTCAGTACTGAGAACTGGACAAGGTCTGGTGCACAAAGATTTATTCAAGATTTATGCAACTGCAGCTTTTTGCTATAAATATTTCTTTCTTGGTAGCTAAATGAATATCACATCAACTGATGCCTTTTTGCCTTACAGTAGTGATTGAACATGTAAAAACATGTGTAGTGATGCTCATTAAATTAAAATGAAGCTCATGTTAAAAGTGCTAGCGTGCTTTTTGAATACAGCAGTAGTTTGTTTTCCCATTGCTCACATCATTGTTTATTACATAAGGAATGTTACATGCTTCAGAGAAAACCTGGTAATAAGTGGAAAAAAGAAAGGGAGTAACTGTAATGTTGCAGCATGCCTACAACTTCAGTTTACTTATTGATTTTCATTTACTTATTTAGAATATTGGAATATGGTTATGACAACAAACTTAATTGATGTTCTCATTTGGACACTTATTTTTTTCCAATGGTTTTTATATATTATTCAAGAGACTTTCATCAAGAAAAGGCTGACAAAAAGTTTCCTTTTAAAAAAATCTTGTGGCCACGATTGGCTTGAAATTATTTTTATTTTTTGCAAAGTTCCAGTGGGGTTCCTTGTGTTTGTTTGTGTGTGGTGGTGGTTTTTTTGTTGTTGTTGTTTGGTTTTTTGGGGTTTTTTTTTTTTTTTTTTTTTTCAAAGAATGAAAATGCCAACATTAAAGTACTTCTTTGTAGTTAAAATATATGTTTTCATATGTATGATCTGGCTTTGAAGAAGAAGGTTTTTCACACTCTTAAAATTTTGAGAATGTGAAAATTTTTCTTGGGACAGAAAGTAAATTTTGCATAGACATCTGGTCTTTTGCAAGGTATCGGTAGAGATGTAAATTGTTCTTCTGCATAGCATGTTTTATGTGACTTTAAACAACTAAACATTCTTTTCTAGGTGAAAATGAAACTGAGTTGTTTGGTGAACTTAACAGGACCATTCAGTATTGCTGGAATACATTGGTATCATGGAACAGAAGGCTACATTGAACCCAACTGTCCTTGTCTTGCTGTCTGTTATGACAATGGAAGATGCCAGATAATGAGAGAAGAGAATGACCACAGTAGGTACAAAGTGTGTGGTACTAATTACTGAGCTACTCTTGACCCAAAATGTCTGCTTGTGTTTATATTCTTAATCTTTATTTTTTAAAAACTAGATCCTGTTTTGCTTGACACTGGTATGAATATCGTATGTATTCAGTGGAACCACTGTGGAAGCGTACTGGCGGTGGCAGGCTCCCTGAAAGCAACTTCTCAAGATAAAGATGTCAACATTGTGCAGTTCTATACTCCGTTTGGTGAGGTAAAAATACTTAATATACTTAAATGTTTTTTTGTCGTAGTATGTTTTGTCTATATGGTCATTACTGGTGGAACTGGGATGCCAAAATGTAGGTGTTCAGTGTGTTTAACATGCTCTAAGGCATCTAGGAGATTGATCTGGATCTGGAAAGATGACACAGAACCACATGCCCTTCTAAAACAGCAAGTTAGTGGCCAGCGTGAAAATCCGAGTGCATCTCATAAAACACTAAAATATGGGATATGTACAGTGCCTAACTTTGAACACCTAAGTCAGTCAGATACCTGAGTTCAGACTATAGTCAATAAGCATTTAAGATGCTAAGTTAACATCTGTGTATCAAATCTGGAAGTACTTGTCTTTCTCCACTGTCTGTGTAAGAGACCTGGGTATCTCTAGATCAGGAGTTCAAAATAAGGCAGCGAATGCTCCCCTCTATTGTTATGGAATCAGTAAAACTGAGAAAATAGCATCTGGTATCGGTAAAAGCAATGTCTCAGAAACCTCAGAAAAGGTAAACTGTTTCTAATATTTACTTGTCTGTTGAAGATACTGTTTTGTGGATGTTTCTTGTACATCCCGTCTCTTTTAGAAGATGTTAGATGTTCAACAGTTGAGAGACAACTTTTCTATATATTTTTGTTCATGGTGCTGTTCTTCCTTTGCAAGGTAATTTTGGGTAATTTCCCTTTCCCTCCTAGCAATATATCTGTAAATAGTAAGTTAGTGTTAGGAACCAGCGTGAGGAAATTTGGCCTTTGTACAGAAGAAGTACTTGTCAGCCCTGAGGGTAACCGGTAAGGGTAGAGCTGTGAGCTGTGCTGTGAAAGGGGTTAAGATCCAACATCATCTCTTGAGGTTTCCTTAGTTGAAAGTATTAGATGGAACCAAAGGTTTTGGCAATAATGTTATGTCTCTGGTTGCTAGTGTCCTTCAGATTAACTGAAACAGACATTCTATATCTAGTGTTTAGAAGTAAATTCTTTAGATTTTAGAATTGTTTTGTACTAGTTCTGATATTCATATACAGACTTAACTTTTTGGAAGATGGTATCTTCTGTGAATAATGTGTGACCAGTATTTGGACTTGGTATTTGCGTCTGATCAAAAGCATGAAATAGGTATTAAACTGTGTAACTTCATTGATAACAGTTTATTTAGGCTCAAAGTTATGCCCTCAAAAGGAAAATTAGATCTAAGCATAAGTATCAGTGTTCTGCTCAGTAAAATGCTGTGGTTTTTTTAAAGCCTAAGTTTATTCAAACTCTTACAGTAAATAGTAGATTAATGTATCCCTTATTATGTACTTCTATATTATTTGCAAACAAAAAGCTTCCCACAAACAAGTGCTCTGTGGGACTAAGGTTATAGGTTTTTTTTACAGATCTTTTTCTTCAATTGTTTCCTTCATTCAACATCAAATTCTACACTAAAATAAAGATACAAAAAAACAATGGAAAGTGTGTTTCTTTGTTATCTCTTAAATTGTAAATGGACATTTAACTGCCTTTCTTAGACTGTTCTTGAAAGAGAAGAGAGAAGAGGAAAATGTCCATTGCCCCACTGCAAATTGTATACCTCTGCAGCTGATTCATTGTATGCTCTGGACATAGATAAGCTGGATGTTTTTATTTGTTTAAACTAACTAAGTAATACACTTCAAGCACGAATGGAACTGCTGAGGCATGTCTGGTATCAGTACTATTGTTGTGTTTATTTTAGTAGTGACTGAAATTATAAAGGTGATTCAAATTACCAACCAAAGGAAAAAAGGTTTTTACTGTCATTCTCCATCTATTATTTATTTTTGTAAGTTTGAACTATCACTGTGTCCTCTTTTTTCTTTCTCTCTGACAGAAAAATAATAGAGGCAAAAGAAAGCTTTATGGTAATGCATGTTAAGTATCTCTCACTTTGTTTGCTTGTGTATTGTAATTTGGGAGTCATTATGGGGTACTGTAAAGAATGTTCGGTTTTCATGGACTATCAAAACTGTTGTTTATGCATTTTAGAGTGATTTTCCTATGATAAATTCAGAATCTTTTTTCTTTCTTTGTTTTAAACAAGCATTTGCGCACACTGAAAGTTCCTGGCAAACAGATATCTGCTTTGTCTTGGGAGGGGAGTGGACTGAAAATTGCTCTGGCTGTTGATTCTTACATCTATTTTGCAAACATTCGTCCAGATTACAAGGTATGTGGTAATATGGCACTTAACTGTATTAATAATTTTCTGTATATTTATTCTCTTTATGAATGGGGTGAAGGAAGCAGCTTTCTCTAATATATAAATCAGTGCTTAACTTACGATTACTGTTTGATCAGCACTGCTGACTTGAAGTTTTAGGGGAATATGAGTGTCTGTCTTGGTGATGGAATGACTTAGCCATTGCTTTTATAATGAATTTGTGATTTTATCTTCATAAGAAGGAAGTGTATGTTTTGTTAATATTAACAAAATTGAGCGGGATTGTACATTTGGCAGTAATTGAGGCTTTCATGTGGGTAAGGCTCCAGTGCTTTCATTGCTGTTTGGTTAAACTGAGTGATACAATGGGAATTGTTTGAGCCTTACTTTTACTGTTGTTTTCCTGGTGGTGAAATATTAGCTTGAATGAGGAGAGTTGTGTAGAAACCTGAGCAGTAGAAGTGATAGAATCACACAGAATCACAGAATATTAGGGATTGGAAGAGATCTCAAAAGATCATCCAGTCCAATCCCCCTGCCAAAGCAGGAACCTAAATGAGATCACCTAGAAAGGTGTCCAGGCGGGTGTTGAATATCTCCAGAGAAGGAGACTCCACAACCTCCCTGGGCAGCCTGTTCCAGTGCTCTGTCACCCTCACTGTAAAGAAGTTTTTTCTCATGCCTAAGCAGAACCTCCTGTGTTCCAGTTTACACCCATTGCTCCTTGTCCTATCGTTGGACATCACTGAGAAGAGCCTGGCTCCATCCTCCTGACATTCGCCCTTAACATATTTATAAACATTAATGAGGTCTCCCTTCATTCTCCTCTTCTCCAAGCTAAAGAGACCCAGCTCCCTCAGCCTTTCCTCATAAGGGAGGTGCTCCACTCCCTTCATCATCTTGGTGGCTCTGTGCTGTAGGTGTACTTCCTACTTACATTTCAATTCCCAATATACTTTCTAGGGGTGTGTATTCAGCTAATTCTAAATAACGTTTTTACCTTGTCTACCATATGGCTTTGGTTGGTTGTTTTGTTTTGTTTTTAGTTAGGACTATTTCACTTAAATTTACAATTTTAACAAAAAATAGCGATTACTGACCAGTATACAATATTGTATAGTTTTTATTTTTCCAGCAAAGGAGATGTTCTTTAATCATCAGTGTGTAACCACTGTGATAGGGAGACAGAGAATGTAATGTGAGGGACATACCACTGTGATAGGGAGACAAAGAATGTAATGTGAGGGACATACTGCACCTATATTGAAAAGTATTCTTCCAGTTGTTTCTGAAAAATCATTGGTCAGGGAGTTACAAACACAAATCTACTAGGAAGCAATCTTGCATAGTTTGTTGTAAATCTGCTGGAAAAGACTTTGGAAATCTGAGCTGGAAATTAGTCTCGCAGGGAATGCTACCTAATGTTTATTCTGGGAAATGTGTAACAGCTGGAACACAGGCCTGTTGCTTTTTCTTGCCCTCATCAGTATCTATGAGACCATGTGTACTTCAAAATCTGGCACAGTTTGCAAATGAATAATATTTTGAAACTGTAGTTTTAGAAACTGCATCTGTAAACCCTCTTTTTTTTTTTTTTTTCCTTTTGCATATTTAAAGTGGAAAAAAATGTGCTCAAATTAATTTATTCCTGCAGCAAATAAACTCAACCTGTTGGTAGTGTACTCAGTTTCAGTGTTAATTATTTTTATGGTGAATGATAAGTGTTTTGTTTCAATAAATAATACACATTGCTACTGCTATGTTCTTTCTGATTATATAACTCCCTTTTAGGAACCAGATATTCTAAAAGATGACATTCATTAAATTATAGTGATTCAAAGCTGAGATTAATTTAGGCTGGATTGGAAGTAATGACCTGGAGATGAAGTGTTAGTGTTACATTACCAATCTACTGAATAATCCAGTTTCCTGTATTTTTTGAGTATTACAATAAAAGGAGATTCTAAATTGATATGACAGTAAAAACTATGAATTGAGCTGATCTTTTTTAAACTATTCATAGTTTGCATGGTATCTTTTTGGATTTGTAATACTAATTTGGAGTCTATAGCTCTAGTTACATTTCTTCTGGTGTATATTACCTTGTTCAAATCTATGTTGAATTTCACTTTATATCCTCATCATCCAGCATTCTGGGGACCTTTGCCACTTCCTGAAATCAGTTTTACATTTGACAAACATGATTTACAGTTTATTGACTTGTTATAATTTACTCCTTTCATTTAAATTTTGAATGTTCAGAATAGTGTACATTCCAGTACGTTCCATCTCTAGAAAGGATCCTGTGGGTAGTGCTCTTGCTTGTCAACAACTACTTTTATTCCAGTGGTTTTATTTTTCTTCCTGTATCCAAAATGAGCTTAATTTTCTTGAAAATCCAAGTAGGTCATATCAGTTGGGTTATCGTCATTTGCCTGCCTGTTTCCTCTCTGAAAGATAATAAATAATAATAAATTATAATAATAATTGATAATAACAATTGAATGAGGTACAACTGGCAGGGCTAAAACCCTGATGACTGTCCAGTGTATTGAATTTATCCATGTCCATCTAATACCATTATTTATAGTTTTGAGTTGTTTTTTTCCCCCATGTCTGCTTTCTGTGAAAGCTGGATTTGCTGATCTGTGATTCCCAGAATCATAATGCTTTTTACATCTTCCCCCTCCCGTTCCTCTGGCTGTGCTCCACAGCATTGTGTTTGAATTCTCACAGAACTCCACTTGAGTGAAAACCATTGGGTTCTGGCAATTTATTACCATTCAGTTTATAGATCTAGTCTAAAGGTTCTTTTGATATTTTAGTTTATCGTCTCGGTTTCATTCCCTGTAGAGTGTGGGAACCCTTCTGGCCAGCTCTCTAACAAGCTTTCTTCTCTTGCTCTAGTAAATGCTGATGCAGAGAATTCCATTAGTTTTTCTATAATTGCATCGTCATCCTGAAGTGGTTTGCTTTATATCTCATTTGTTTGTCAGCTTCACCTCCTTCCTCAGATATTTTCTGATTCTGCTGTGTTAGAAAGGGTTTTCATTATTAATTTCTATAATTTAAATCAGTTGAATGCAATAAAACACATCTTCATGGTTTTTACAGTGTTTGGATATTCTGTTTTTCTTCTTTTGCCTTTTTGCCCTTTCTCCTGCTTGTTGCACGAATAATTATATTCTTCTAGGGGGGAGGGAGGGTTTTTCTCATGTTACTAATATGGAAGGGGTGATGTGAGTTATTATAGCGCTCTAATGTAATTGCTTATTTTTATCTGCTTCAGGGATTTTGCTGTTTGAGGTGTTTATTATATTTCCCTTGGGAAATGAACTGTGGGTTTCCAAATGAAGTCATGAAGCAAGCATTTTCATGGCCAAAGCCATCATCGCAGTGGGTATTTTTGTGTACCTGCTGTAGAAGGAAAAAACAAGGGGAAGTGACATCTTGTCAGGTTTTGAGGCTGTTCCTCCAGTTCTGATTGCGATAGGTTGCTCTGGGTGGTGGGGAGGCTTCTTTTGCCAGTTTAATATTATGCAAGTAACTTGTTACCAGAGCTGTGTTCACATACTTTTAATAAATCATTTCATCACTTGACAGGTAAAGAATGTTGAATACTGATTGTGTATATGACATAAACACTTTCTTTCACAGCTGCGAACAATTTTTTATTGAAATCTTATAATTTCTGATAGGTTTTATCAAAATTGTCTCTCTTGGCAGTGGGGTTACTGCTCCAATACGGTTGTTTATGCGTACACTCGCCCCGATCGCCCAGAATACTGTGTAGTCTTCTGGGACACAAAAAACAATGAGAAGTATGTGAAATACGTCAAGGGCTTGATTTCCATAACAACTTACGGAGACTTCTGTGTTTTAGCAACTAGAGCAGATGAAAATCAACCTCAGGTAAAGTCTTTCTTTTAATTTTCACTTGAAATGCTCAGTGCCACATGTCAGTGCTTTACACACAGAATCAGATGAAATGTAAAATTCTGAATCTGTCTCGGAGTGTGTCATTCAATTGTCATTAGACAGAATGGCACTGGCATGGGCTCAGTGTTTAAAAACAAAGAACCCCAGCAACAACAAAGTAACAGGAAAAATGTGCAGAACCAATTAACTACCTCTATATTTTAACTTCTTGTAGCCATTAGTAACTTAATGCAGCCTTCAAAATTAAATGTTTCTTTAGAAATATTTAGAACCATTCTCCAAGGAAAAGCTAAAAGCAGTAGAGCATCAGAATGGTAGCAAATATTTAATCAGTCAGAATTGGAAAAGAAAGGGAATTTTTAAAGTGGTATAAATCTCATGTAGCTACCAACTGCTCCATTTATTTATTTATCTTAAATGTAGTGACAAATGATGTGATAAATGTATCCTTTGGTTAGCGGGATGCTAACTGCCACATGGTTTTTCTTACTGTGTTTGCTTCTGCATTATTTTCTGTATCACTTGGATATTGCTTACAAAGGAGGAGCATGAGACGGATTCAATTGGTGCAACGGTAAAAAAATCATGCTTTAGTGCTGCTTTGCTTCATTGTGCCATAAATAGTGCACTGTCCTAGGGATTTAAAATATGGTATACATGGCCAAACCCATTTGGTGACACTGAATGCAATAAATTGAGATTTTTATGGTTTTTGTTTTTACAACCCAGAAAGGGACTTGGTGTAACTTTCTTGAGCATAAATAAAGGATTTAATTTTAGCCTCTGAAAATTATAGGTACTAGGCATCTTTCAGTTCTTTCTAAATGGCTCCAGTGTAATTATTAACACTGTGAGAGGGTCAGCTTTTAGGAAATGAAGTGAACAAGCTTAATCCTTTGGATAGCAGTTCACTAGAGTTGCTTTCTGCAAAACAGATTTGTTTTGCAATAGATTTTAGTTGTTAGAATTGTGATTTCAAGGCTGCAAAATGTACAGCAATAGCTGATGGGGTAAGAAGAGTAATTTCAGCAAAAAGCAGGAACTGTTTAAAAGTATTGCAAGCAGATACGAATGTCAGTAAGTTACAGAGAACTCGATACCCAGAAGGAGGCTTGAGCCTTCTGCTCTGATCGGATCAGACAATGCAAACTCCTTCGTCCTGACACCACCCTGTGTAGCTCATCCTGCCTCTCTCTTGGACACCATTACCCCACCACTCCTTGGTAGTCTCTGATCTACTGACTTAGAAATCATAGAATGGTTTGGGTTGGAAGGGACCTTAAAGATCATCTAGTTCCAACCCCCCTGCCATCAGCAGGGACACCTTCCACTAGACCAGGTTGCCCAAAGCCTCATCCAGCCTGGCCTTAAACACTTCCAGGGAGGGGGCAAAAACAACTTCCTTGGGCAACCTGTTCCAGTGTCTGACCACCCTCACAGTGAAGAACTTCTTCCTAATATCTAATCTAAACCTCCCCTCTTTCAGTTTAAACCCATTTCCCCTTGTTTTGTCATTAGTTGTCCTTATGAAAAGTCTTTCCCCAGCTTTCTTGTAGCCCCTTCAGGTACTGAGAGGCCGCTATAAGATCTCCCCGGAGCCTTCTCTTCTCCAGGCTGAATAGCCCCAACTCTTTCAGCCTGTCCTCATAGGAGAGGTTCTCTCCTGTGAAGAAATAAGGGCATAAAAGAGAAATTGATTAAAAAGTGAATGTTGGGATGATTAACCAGAGAAGAGTGAGTATAAACATAATGGAAGCAAACAATAAAGAATTTAAAAAGTCAGCTTTGATTTGCTACAGAGGTGGAGGCTCAATATAATTTTTGGAAAAGAGAAATTCGAGAATGCTAGTGGAAGGCTTAACTCATGAACAAAGAAATAAAAATACTATTTTTGAGAGGTGTTTATTGTTGGCAGAGCCAGAAAAATAAATTATTTAATTAAAATAAATCCTTGTTCAGATCTTTTTCTTTGAAATAATCAAGTTCATGCAGTAGCTGAAAACCTAAATTCTGCCATTCAGTGTGATTAATAAGCTATCAGTCTTTCAGGGGTAAGCTGTAGAGGTGCTGTAGTCTGCTACCACAATTACATTAATTGTTCAGGAGGTGAAAGAGCTATGAAGAACTAATTATCTTCCATTTCCTGGTGTGACAGTTTCACTAGGCCAGCCCTTGGCTAGCAGCCAACACAGCCCTTTGCAGACTGTGTTCCCGCTCTCCCCCACTACCACAAATTATGCAGTCGAGTTTCCCTCTCATAACAAGTCCCAGGCTGAAAGCAAAATGCACCACTGTTCTAGCTACTAAAAAGAATCCCAGCTCTGTTCCAGCTAAAAATCAGGACACTTGGAGAGTCAGGATAATAGCTTTTAAGTGATCCAGGTTTTGGCAGCCCTGTCTTTTGTTTGTTTTGTTTTTGTTTTTTTTTAATCTAAAGATTTCATAGTAAAAGTTGCTACTTAGTTTCCACAGTTTTCATTCAAGACATTCTTATTTTCCTGTGCAATCATCATAAAACTATTTATTCCTTGATTTAGGTCTGGAAAAATAAATACGTCAGCAACAACAATGAAACACTGGTGTCTAGGTCAATTTTTATTTATTTTCATCTCCCTGAGTTTAACAGACCCATCTGAGGCATCTGTGCTGTCAGAGGTTTCCAAGCAGGATTACAAGAAGGGCAAAACAAACAAAACTCACTAGTTGTGTATTATCTGCAGTACTGCAGGGCAGAGCAATAGCCTCATTCACAGTTCTCCCCACATTGTAGCCCTCTTAGAGGTTCAAGATTGAGGTCTGCAAAGGATAGAACAAGGGTCCTAACTTCTGGGAGCTAGCGAAGGAGCCTGATGGAGTTGGAGATTCTCCTTTGCATGAACAGCTAGGCCAGAGCTGACTCACTGAGAAATTGCTGGTGTATCTTGCTAGTAAAGAATCGCAGTACAGTGTGTGCCCCACTGAGCAGGAACTGAGACACTGGCTGTCTTGCTCACATGTCATCTGTGGACCCTGCTGGTGGGACATCCTGCATGTTGTATTTTGCACAGTAGATTTGCTCCTTCACTTAAAACAGCTGGTCATTTCCCTATTTTGTGCTTGGCTTTGTTTTTAGTGCTAATTGGCAAATATCTCATTACTGTCATGCTTATGCTGCTTTATATTTGCTGAAGTTGTGGTCTCTCTGTTTTCTGTTGCTGATCAACGTTAAATTGTGTGTTATGAGAGACACCTTCATAGAAAACCTTGTGTAATTTACCAATTTACCAAAAACGTGCTAGTAATGACACTTACTTTTATTTCCATACAGTATGTGCTGGTTCTCTGCAATTCTCTTGGCACTCCCTTGGACCCAAAATACATCGATATTGGTAAGCAACTTGCAATAATCTTATTCTGTTGGCTTCTTTCTAGTTTTTATAATTAATTTCTTATGTGAGTCTGTATTTCAATGACAGAATCGCTGTGTGGTAACACTGCTTGGATCCAAATGTTGCCACTTTCCATTCTATTCGTGCTTGTAACTATGGTTTTATATTGGCTTCTCACTTCTACTTGGGCTTGCCCTAATTATAATAAACATGTAATCAGCAGTTCCCATGCCGTGAATGGTAATTTGTGTTTAAATGACCTGTTAATTACTCTGTTAATAAAAATAGTGGCTTATAAAACCAGTCCTATTCCTTGTAAAAGTTGGTTAAATTAAACTGTTTCTTCCAGCTAATACAAACTATTTACAACAGAATTTTAAAAAGTTGTTACTTTTATTTTTTTTTTTTTATGGATGTTCTTGATGATTCAGATTTTCCTTCACAACAGTGGTAATTCAACTCCTTTTTAAGAAAATGTACTTTTTTGAAGAGGGTCCTGTTTTTCAGAGCAATTGAAATAGTTTGATCTGGACTTTCATTTAAAAATAACATGTTGCTGCTTCCCAAATATCTTAAATATCAATTTCTCATATTTCACAGTTGATAATACCTTTTCCTTACCCTCCTCACAATTGTTTTATCTAAATATTTTCAGATTATAAATTAAAAATCAAATAAAAAAAAAAATCAGTGGATTATAGCTGAAGTACAAAAATACCCTCAAATCCTAAAGATACCTGAATTCCAGGCTGTCCCTGCTGCTTGTTTGCTGCAGGTATGGTGCAGAACATTGCCAAGTAATTGCAAAACACTGGGTTTTGGGAGTTTTGCTAGAGAATAAAGATCACTGTTTTTTTTTCCCTTCCAAACCACAAAACCCCTGAGCACTGAAGTAAGATGATGTGGAGGGTGGTTGTGGTGTGGGTGGGGTGTCTATCGTGTTCCCCCTGTCCCATCCCCCCTCCTGATCAGACGTCCATGCCGTATGTGCCTACTAATCTCCTGGACTCACTTGACAGGTGGGATTAGGGCGGCAGGAGGAGGATTGAGGGATTTATAGGGAGTAGTTCATCTAATTTCTACGGTTGACATCTAAAACAAGTTCAGTTAATCATTCCTGAAAGGGGTCTTTTTGCTCTCCATTGGGTATAAAGAAGCCCAGGGCAACCAGCTCATCTCTGTCAGAGATGCCTAAAATTAGGTGACATGAATCCCACACAAGTGGTCAAAATTAGCTTTTTACGTACACCTCTAACTCTGCATCTAAACTCTTCTTTGCATTTTTCTAGTGTTCTGTTTCTAAGAGCTTTCTAAATCTATCTGTGATAGATTTATTTATATTATAAACAAGGGTGTCAGTTTCTTTGATTTCCCCCATTACGACCTATCTCCTACAGCTGTCTGTACACAAGAAAAGAATGTTCTTCAGTGACTGAAAACAGTTAATTAAATGCTGTTTAACTGAACAATGCTGCTGTTGTTCCAACTGTATTTGAATTATGCTGAAGAGATTAATCACTCTGGAAAAAGCTTCTTTTCCTTTAGCTTAACTAAGCTTTCTGCAGTCTGATTCTGTTCCCTCCAGTGTCAGAGGATCAGTTTAGTGCATAGATTTACAATGCTCTTTCCCAGTGTGAGTTCTTTTGGGAAAACGCTAGGCATGATAGCCTTCAACCTCACAGACAGGCAAATACTTGAGGTTAGGAATATTTGCATTTTTGAGTCCTGAAAAATTTCTGTCGTCTCAGTAGTTAAAACGTAACAAACAAGTCTTTCATTGCTGTGTAGTAAACACAGCCAAAGATTCAACCTTTTTTTTTTTTTTAAATATATGCATCCTGCAAGACTCCTTTAAAGTTATCCCTCCAAACTTACAGAAGGGATTGACAGCGAAAGTGCAAAGCAAATGCCTATAAATGCAACACTTTTGGAGCACACTGTGCTGGTTTTATCATAGTTGCTTTCCTGTTTTGTAACGTTCGAAGATACAAATTTATAGAACAACTTGAAATATTTATAACATAAGGTCAGTTTGTGTGAGATGTTGACACTTGTACCCAGTCAAGGTCTTAATATACAGTATATCATGCTGTTTTTCACAGCTGGAGCTCCTTGGCAGTAGAAAGTATAATTGTTCTAGTTTGACAGGGTGCTGAACTTAAGCAGCTGGCTGGCCTTGCTGAGGTCAACAGAGAGAGAAGACCTTGTAAAACCTTAAAAGGCAGAAGACCTTTCTGTAAGTTAAGATTCTAGTTTGTGCATAATTTCTAACAAAATCATTATCCTTTTGTCTTGTTTATAAATAAATCAATTATCAGGTGGGAGTAATCATTAATAGTTTCAGATATAAGCAGTACAGAAGTAAAACGGACGCTATCTCTTAATCAAGATAATTGGAGGAGCGTTATTGACTTCTGCAAATACATTATCCATCTGTTAAATTCTTTTTTTTTTTTTTTTCCTCTTTCTACCAAAACAGTTTTTAAGGCTCTTCTCTTTTAGTAAAGTGATAGATTGTTGCATTGAGTTCTGTCCAGAAAATAATTTGCTTCGGTAATTTTTGTTTTGAACTCTTGGTCTCGTTTCAGACTTCTAAGTGCCATCTTTCAGATTGGTTTAAAAACATTTAGGTTGTTACTTTATTTGATTTTCATAACAGCTTATGAAAAATGCCTTCTCATATAGTAGAATGTTCCTCAACAGACCACTTGGTATCTGCGTGCTCCTACCTGTCCTAAAGGTGCTCATGACTGCCATGAGTCTAAACTATATTTTTGACTGGCTGCAATTACTGCAAATTGAACACCCAGTCCTTGTTTTTTACCAGACTGCTTCTTGTTGGAGTAGCAATCACTTGATCATGCTGTACTGAGCATAAAGATTTTACTCCTCTTTGAGACTTGAGTGCCCTGCAGGTCTCTTGGGCTTTGACCTGGTCGGAAATTGATAGTATAAAAAAAAAGATTGCTAATCTAGGGATGCTGAGTAGCTGACAACACTGCATCTGAGAATGTGTTTTAAAGCACAATTTGTATGATTGTCAATTTATAACATTTTATAAAATTGTTTCAACAAAGTGCTATTAATCTCCTAATGACAAAGTAATTGTGACAGTGTGCAATATTTGATTCACCCCCAGGAGATGCAAATCTTATGTTGTTGGGCTCTAAGCCAGTAATTCAAAAGCTCAAATAAAAGTGCTTATTCCCTTTATTCTGTTGAATTTTTAATTACGTCATTAGCTTTCTAATGCTTGCCTCTGCTAATGATGGCAAAAAAGGATTAATCAGCCATTATCTGGTGAAAGGCCATCATTTCAACTTTCTTTAGACATTGATGGATGGTTACACCTTAAAGCTCTTCCTCATGCTGCTCGTTATTTTGTCCAAGGGCATTTTTCTTCCTGTGCCTTGTTTTTAGGGTCCTAGTGTTTGCTAGCCCATAAATTAGTCTTTTCTCCATTGTCTAGCGTTCTTATGATCCATCCTACTAAGGTACAAAAATTAACCAAGCCAATTCCTTCTGTGCTTGTTGCACAGGCTCACAGGCTTTCTGTCAAAGTCCTTTCATGAATAACTAAATATAAACTGCAGAAGGTTAAATATCTTGTTATATAACATCTTTTTTAATGGAAACAGAACAGATGGTATCTGCTAAGAAAATGTCACTCGGGCTGGATGATGTCATTGTCTTGCATGTGCTTAGGAGAGCTGGCACGGTGGAGTGTTGAGTTATCTTTCACATGTGTGTTAGCACCTGGTGAAACGAACACAACAGCCCCATCAACATACAGGTGGATTAAAGTCAGAGTGCTGGAGTCACACCGAGGTGTCGTGCCTCCCTCAACGCCTTAACAAGGATGACTGAACTCCATGTGAAACAGCACTTGAATTGCTGTTACTTAAAGTTGATCATTTTAAAGTAAACTATAACTGATGTATAGTATTTCTTTGTATTCTGTAAACTGTGGGCATTCGTGAGTTGTCCCACGTGCAGTTCAATTGTCCCTGCTGCTGTCTGATGTTTTTTTCTATTATGAATTAGCACTTCTAGAGACATTTAAATCAAGCTCTAAAATTAGGTAGATGTTATTATCAGACTAAGTTTGTCCCAGTTTCTCAGGAACAGCCTGTAACAGGCTTGTATGAAAACAACAGTTTAGTCTTGTGCCTGTCTGTCAGATTGCTCCCTTTCCATCAGATTTAGGTGGGATTACTTGTCTCTCTTGTGTCTGTGCATCCTGTTTCATATACTATAAAGTGTGTCAGCTTTTTCATGCAGCAAAGTAACATAGTCATGCATTAAGTTTGTTTTCCATCTCCTATTTTTTTAAGAAGATTAGACATAAAAGCAGGTATTTTCTAACTGTTTTGAAGTGAGATGGAGTGAGTGTGGATGAAATACAGGCACAGCAGAAGGTTATTAGAGATTCCTGGAAATAAATTTTCTGTCCTTGAGGGAGGAGGTTTTATAAAGGAACAGTGAAGAGAAATGAGGTGAGAAGAGAAAGAAGGGCCAGAAAAAACTTAAAGGGCAGTTGTTTCACATGTTGATGTTGTTTTGATGGGATAGTTTGTTTAATCCTTTTCAGTATTGATCACTGAAAGTAAGGCACCCATTTAAATGTTTTCCATACATACTTTCAAGGTCTGAAAATTAAGTATTAAGGCATTAATACTGAAGTCAGCTATCTGCAAAATCAGTGGGAAGACCTAGACAGTCTAAGAAGTCCACATATTTAGCCTGAAAAGCTGCTATGCAGTGAAAATGCTGAGCAGAGGAGTGTCTGAATCTCATGCCTCCTGACTTAATGTGCTTGCTTTTCTGTCTGCTTAGTAGTCAGAGCACTAATTCTTAGAAGGGCACTGATGCCCAAGTGAGCTGCTGAAATCAAGGCCACTGTATAAGATGGTAATACTTCCCTAAAGGAAACTAAGTAGTTAAACCAGCTGTTTCTAGATCTTCCTCAGCCTGAAGGGACTGAAATGGGCAACTTTCTAAGGAAAGTTCCTTGTCCCAGGAAAGGACAATTCCCTTCTTTCTTTGCCGCAGCAGCAGCCTGAACTTGGAGTGGCTGGGGCATCCTTTCCTTGTGTTGAAGTTATGCTGTTACACAGCCAAGAAGGAAAGCATTTTAGGAGCAGAGTGTAGCCCAGTGATTAAGGTTCTGAGGTGAGAAGTGGGAATAGAATAGAATAGTTCAGTTACAATCACCTAGCTCAACTGCCTGACCACTTCAGGGCTGACCAAAAGTTAAAGCATGTTGTTAAGGGCATTATCCAAATGCCTATTAAACATAGACAGGCTTGGGGCATCGACCACTTTTCCAGGAAGCCCATTCCAGTATTTGACCACCTTCTCAGAAAATAAATGCTTCCAAATGTCCATCTAGACTTGCATTTTTGTTTCTTTTTCCACAGATTTTTCTGTTTGTATTTCTTTTGTGTTTGCTTGTGTAATGACTGTCCAGCATCAGTTCCCACATATGGATACTGCTCTTCCAGATGTGTTTTCGAATGGATCTGATCCTGAAGGTTGTGTCAGTGTGCTGTGTATCCCTCTCCCTGCAACTTCACATTTGGCTTAAATCCGATCTTTGTTTAGCCTGCTGTTGAAAAGATGGGAAGGCTCTGCCCTCTGTGCTGGCTGCTCATGCAAGCCCTCTCCAACATCTGTGATTTTTCTCTTCAGTCCAGCTTAAACTAATCTTTTATTTATTTCATTTTGAGATCAGGTAGATGATTGAACTGATCCAACTTAACTGTGTGGTCAAGCTACTGCTATAGAGCTGATACAAAAGAAGTGGCAGGGAAATATGCCCAGGGTTGATGTGTGGCTTTTTTTTGCCAGCAACAATCATTTTAAGTCTTAGGCATGTTCATAAAATGCCTAATTGATTGTATTCCTCTGGATGAAGCATAGATGTGTTGCCATCTTGTTTCTGGATCCCAACAGGGCTTATGTGAACATCCTTTTTTCCCAGAGGTGTGCACATACGAGTAAGTTTAGGCTCCACGGAAGCTCTAGGTCAATCAAATGGGGAGTCACCTGGTGAGTATAAGGAATGCCCACAGCTTTCAGATGTGGACTTGTTTTAGCATTGTCTTGAAGTGTTTAAATGTTGACTAAGCTCAGTCCAAATCTGAGGCTTAGTACTAAAGTTTAGTGATTTGAGCAAGTAGAAACCTTATTCCCTCACAGCTCAGGAGATTCTCATGTTTCATTTTTAAAGGATAAAAGCATTAATTGTCATGGCATGTAGAGCTGCAAAGTAATAAATAAAACAGAGCAAATACATAGAATTTATTAATGCTGTTAATGAAACAGAGGAGACTGGATCCTTCAGTTGTATGTGACTAATTATTGAAATGATTGTGTTCTAAGTCTATGAAGTACACAGAGTTGCATATAATGTAAACAACTGTACTGCTCACATGTTGAGCATTGTCACTAAGCCTTCTTATCCAGTATTTACATTTATACTAAAAAGTCTCCTAGAGCCATCAGGTAGCTTATATAATCCTCTTCGTTTCAAAGAAATAAAATCAGTTCAACCAGTTTTTCCCCATCTGTCTCTTGTGGCATTGCTCATCTTCATGGCAGGCTTATAGCTCCCTCCAGAGTTCTGTTCTGTGCTAAAATAGAGGAAAAAAAAAGAGATTCACTGTAAAAGAATCAGATTTTGTGCTCACAGCATGTTATTGGTATGAGTCGGTGTTTCACTAACAGGCCAGGCTACACAATTCTGCCGAATTTGCCTGTTTAGTCTGATAGCATACTGATTTACTTGTAGACTTTGAAAACATTGGGGAATTTACTTAATAGGTTTCTACATTTTTCTATGCCTTTTAATGTGTGTTCACTGTTTTTCAGAAAGATGAAACAAAGGTTTGTAAAAGGAAAAAAGAAAGCCTCAATACAGTAAAGACAGTGTATTATAAAGAATAATACAATGGTTTGAGTGCATATATATATATATATATATTTATTTGTTCACCAAA